CTTTGTTTTACTTTTTTGCATTTTTATCATTTTTTTTCTTTATTATCCTTTTATGCTAGTTCTTTTTTCTTTTCCCCTCCCCAGATACTGAATTTTCTTTTTCTCTATTTCTGTTTCTAATTCTGTTGTCTTTTTAAAGTATTTTTTTTTAACATATTTCTTCTCATTTATTGCATTTGTTTTTTTCCCTTTTTTATTATCTTTCTTGTTTTGGTGATTTCTCCTGTGTGTTTATGAGGTGTGTGTGTGTGTGTGTGTGTGTGTGTTGTCCTCTTGCTTTTGCTTTTTTTGTAGTTTTTTATTCTTGTTTTTGACTAACTGAGTGGGAGACAGCAACTATGTGGCCCAACCATACCTGCACCTCCAGCAGCCCTACCTACTGAAGGGGGGCCACCACTTGCTTCTGCACTGACTGCACAATGATACACAACAGTCAAAAAGAACCTGAATCACCCTTAACTGCTCTTCACAAACAGCAAACAGAGATCAGTGCACCTACTCTCATTCTCTATCACACCAGGAAACAGGTGGTGAGTTCATAAATGCTGCCAACACAGTATCCTGTTTACTCAGATACATAAAAACAAAACAAAGAAAACAAATATCTTGGGCAAATCACTCCAAATACAATCACCAATTAAATATAAATACAACAACATCACAATGTCTCAGAGATGACAGACCATCATAGTCCACACAAAGAAGCAAGATAAAGCAGGAGAAACAAGGGGACAGGATACAGACCCCAAACACATACCTGAGGAAGAAGCAGCATTGGAACTCCCTGATAAGGAATTCAAAACAATTATATGTAGGTACCTTTAATGGATTGTGGGACAGATCAAGAAAAATACTGACAAAATTGAGGAAAACACAGAGAAAACCCTAGAACAATTTCAGAAGTCAAGACAAAAACAAAATGACAAAATAAATGATAAATTAGAAATTATATAAAATCTACAGCTAGAAATCCAGAAGATTAATACTAAATTTTCAGAAATAGATAACACTTTGAACAGGCTAAGGAGTAGAATTGAAGCGATGGAAGACAGAATTAGTGAGATTGAAGACAAATACCTTAATACTTCTTGGTAAAGGGATCAATCAGAAAAAAAGATCAAAACAAAATGAAGAAAGCCTAAGGTTTGTGTGGGATACCATCAAAAGTAATAGCCTATGTGTAACTGCAATTCCAGAACAGGGAAAGATCAATAAAACCACAGAGAAAATTGTCAAAGATTTGTTGGAAGATAATTTCCCTGATGTGATGGAAGATGAGAATACATCCATTCAAGAATTCCAACAAAACAGAAGAGATCCCAAAAGAAAACGACCAAGAAATATCATCAAACTCACCAAAACCAAAGACAGAGTCCTGAAAGCAGCACAGGAAAAATGAAAAGTTACTTACAAAGAGCAATCAATAAGACTAAGTTCTGATTTCTTGGCAGAAACCATGCAGGCAAGAAGTCAATGGGATGGTATATATAAAATTCCTGAAGGAAAAAAATTTAGAACCAAGAATTATATACCCAGCAAAATTGTCTCTCAAATATGATGGTGAAATTAGGACATTTACAGATTAGCAGAAATTAAAGGAATTTGTTAAAACCACACCAACCTTACAAGAGATGTGAAAGGGAGTCCTTTGGATAGAGAACCAACAACAGCAAACAACAACCAACTATTAACACACATGATGACATAACCCAGAAACTAACCTAGTTATAGAAGTATCCAAAATAAAATAAGATTACAAGATTGATAACAGGAGAGTGAGTGCTAATGGAAGGTTGCCTTTATGTTGTGGAGCTCTGCCCCTCTTCTCTCCCTCTTCCCACTTCCTTCCTTTGGTGGAGGAAGGCAGGGCCTGAGGTCTGAAGTGTGGGGAGAACTTGGGAGGAATTCTGGTAAGATGGAGGAATAGACAGACAAGTGACATGGACCCTCTTCAACAAAGAAAAGAAAAACCAACTGACAGAGATACAGAAGATAATCTTGGAACTCTGAGCTTTGAAAGGAATTATACAGAAGTGGATTAGGCACCAACTAGTGGAAAAACCTGAATGAAAACAGGACCTAAGAATAGGCTCTGTTTGCCAAGGTCAGCAGGGACATATGAGAGGCTGACAACAGGAAAAGACACAGGTGGTGAGTGTATAAGTGCTGTCAATAGAGGAGCACAGCACAGTACCCTGTTTGTGTAGATAACATACAAACAAAAAAAGAAAATGAAAATCGTGGGCAAGTCACTCCAACATACAATCTCCAATTAAATATAAACACAAAAACATCACAATACCTTGGAGACAACAGAGCATCACAGTCCACACAAAGAAGCAAGATAAAGCAGGAGAAACAAGGGACCAGGATACAGACCCAAAACACATCCCTGAGGAAGACGCAGCATTGGAACTCCCTGATAAGGAATTCAAAAGAATTATATTTATGTATCTTCAATGAATTGAGAGACAGATCAAGGAAAACACTGACAAAATTGAGGAAAACACAGAGAAAACCCTACAACAATTTTGAAAGACAATACAAGAATAGAATGACAAAATCAATGAAAAATTAGAAATGATTCAAAATCTACACACAGAAATCCAGAAGATCAATATTAAATTT